AAAGTTTGTTGATTTTGTTAAATTATTTAAAAAATAGCTATAAATTGTTGTCTTTTGATTATATATTTATACCCAAATACGATAAACAACGGCAGCGTGAAAAGAAATAAGGAAAAAGGCACGAATGTTCTCCTCAGCTTTTTACTGATGTGACTTCTTCGTCACTGATCACCGTATTTTTGTTTGCTCTCAGTTTATACTGCCAACTGAGCAGCAGTAATCGCTTCTTAGTTAAAGTCTCTCCTATGTTATCATCTGCTTTCTCATCTTTCTACCTCCAGTCAGATGTCATATGATTTGATCAAACGCTTGGAGTACTGTTAACGGTAGAAAAGAGATCAGATGACATTTGGGTGACAATGAACGATAAATGGCAGAGACAGAATACAGAATAATGACTTCTGATTAATTGCGTTAAGAAGTTCATTCTCTTTGTTTTCCCATCTTCAGCTCTTCCTTCTCTCCTCATCAGTTGTTTTTGATCCTTTATTACATTTAGCAGTCAATTATATTTGTAGTTTAAAAATAAATTATCTGTATTTTGTTACCTTTTTTTTCATACAGAACTGACAGTGGAGTATGTGGCTATTGTATTTGTCTTCAAAATTGGCCTTAATTTGAGAATACTTTTCTCTCAGCTAATATTATAATTTTATTGATCTATATTTTTAAAGTGTTTAACATTATTGATATTGGTGGTGATAGTTACAACAGTTACAATTTTTTTTCTTTATTTAATTAATCATATTTTGGTTGTTAGGACTGTAATTATATTTTGAAAAATGTAGAAATGTTAGTTTTTTTAGGGATCGTAAAGTTTTGAACATTCTATAAGGGTTTTTTTAATTTATCTTTAGATTACATTTATTTTTCATTCCTTGTTTTTTTTTCCAGCTCTATCGTCTTTGGCATCTGATTTGTTTGCGCCATAAAACATTGTATGGCTATTGTTGTTATCTGTACACCTAAATTTTTTCACTTTATCACTTTTTTTTTTCTTGTACAATCTGGTAGTAATTCAGTTTAGAATCCTGTTTTGTAAGATGCCAAATTCATCCAGGTGCAAAAAGCTTGTTGCTCATTCTTAAGAAGAAAAAGAAAAGGAGAAGGGAGCGGTTAGGAACGTGCTCTTAAATCATCAGTTAAATATCTTTTTCAATCAACAGCTGCATCTTATTCTTTCTTTGATATAAAATTTTGAAGAGATTTTCTGCAAAAAAAAAAAAAAAAAAGG